ATCCATCCATCCATCCATCCATCCATCCATCCATCCATCCATCCATCCATCCATCCATCCATCCATCATCTTTTACCCGCTTCTTCCTTTTCAGGTTGCGGGGGTCTCTGGTGCCCATATCCAGCTCTGGCTGTGTGAGAGGTGAGGACACTCTGGACAGGTCTCCAGTCCATCACAGGGACACAAAGACAAATGAGACAAAGAGATAGTTTTTTTTTTTTATGACTCCTCAGATTGAAGAAGTCCTTTGGATGAAGGACAAAATGTGTCAGCAAAAAAGAAAGCATCCAGAAGACCTGACTGCAAATAGTTGGAGACAAACAACCATTCACTCTCTCATTCACACCTAGGGACAATTTAGAGTTATCAATCAGTCTAACATGCATGTTTTTGGTCTGTGGGAGGAAACTGGAGTACCTGGAGAAAACCCATGCATGCATGGAGAGAACATGCAAACTCCACCCAGAAAGGCCCCGGTCCGAGGTTTGAACCAGGGTAACCTGCTCGCTGAGAGGCAGCAGCTCTACCAACTGCACCACCGTGCTGCCTGTCTTCATTTAAAATTAAAGATTTTGTTTGCCTTTTTTTTTTTTTTCTTCTGACGAGTTTTAAAGAAAATTCTTATTTTAACTTGATTTTTGTTTGGAAACACTCTAAAATCAACACAGAAAATCAGCTCATTTTTTGGAATAGTCAGTTCTGGATGGCCCCAGAAAAGAAATGTAGAATTTTGCATGTTTTTATTTCACCCAAACTTTTCTGAACACACATTCATAATTTCTATAGCATGATGTTTTACGTTGCTATTAGAATAGAACAACATAATAAGCTGAAGCCACAAATGAACAGTTTTAGATGTACCATTCATCTAATGTGTTGCGGCGCTGCACACAAACACTGAAAGAACAAGTCAAACATGTTGAGCAGACTGGCTAATGGTAGCACACCCAGAGAGCTGGCCTGGCCATTAAAGCAATAGTTCAACTCTTTTGAAGTAGGGTTCCATGAAAAGCTCATGAACAGTCAATATCTTACCTGCTGTAGATGGCTTTTGAACAACCTGTTTGGTGAAATGGTCTGAGTTAATGGCCAGGCTGAGTGGGGTGAAGTAAACGTGGATTCCAACTCCAATCTGAAATACTTTGTAGCTATTCATGTGTTCACTCATTTTAAGTCTTTACATTCAAAGGATTCAAAGATATGTGCATAACTGGAAACATGTTTCCCTGAGTAATGAAATTCTTACTTTGCTGTCCACATCTTCTACTGCTTCTCTGCAGTTGAGTCATGGAGGCAACATGTCCAGGAGAGAAACTCAGACATCCCTCTCCCCAGCAACACTTTCCAATTTGTTCTGGGGACGCTGAGGCGTTTTCATTCAACCTTTATTTAGACAGGTAAATCCCATTGAGCCTCGAGGACTCATTTACAAGAGAGACCCGATTTAACAAAGAATGATGACAACAATGGACAACAGCGACAACAATAAACAATTATAAAAAGTCATACTGCAGTTTTTTTTTGTTTTTTTTTTACAAATAGGATGGCTAAAAGAAAAAGGTAACAACAACAAAAAAAAAAAAACAGCTAGATTCTAAGGCAAATGTAGAAACTAAAAACAGGAACATAACTGAGTTGGTCCCTGCCAGGAGTCCTACAGATTTTTAAAGCCACTTGGAGAGGTCAAGGTTGAGAGCTTCAAATCTTTTTGTAAGGTATTCCAGGAAACCGGAGCGAAGTAGGAGAAGACCCTTTTGCCTAGTTCAGTCCTCATTGAGGGAACACTGCAGGTAATAATGTCCTGAGAGCGCACGCTGTAGCTGCACTCACGCAGAGACATGTAGGAGGAGATGTATGAAGGCAGCAGACCAAGAAGTGATTTAAAGATGAAAATGTACCAATGAGAGAGTCTGCGTGAAGTTAATGATGTCCAGTTAACCAGTGAATACAGGGTGCAGTGATGGGTACGATGATCACAGCCAGTTATGAATCTTAGTGCACCATGATAGACAACATCCAACATCTGCAGGGTTCTTGTATGAGCGTTCATGTAAATAATGTCACCGTAATCAATGGAGGTAAGGAAAGTCACAGATACAAGGCGTTTCCTACAAGGCGTTCCCAGGCCAGAGAAGATACACCATCCCTCCAGCGACTTCTGGGTCTTCCCCGGGGCCTCCAGTGGGACGTGCTCAGAAAACCTCTTAAGGGAGGCATCCATGAGGCGTCCTAATCTGATGCCCGAACCACCTCAACTGACTCCTTTCGATGAAGAGGAGCAGCGACTCTACTCTGAGCTCCATCCGGATGACGGAGCTCCTCATCTTATCTCTAAGGCTGAGCCCGGCCACCCCGACAGCCGCCATGAATGCCAAGCAGAAAAACAAAAATAATTACAGATAAGAGAAAATCAAATGTACCAACAACGAAAAAAGTGCAAAATGTAAAATAAGACAAAAAGGTGCAAATGTGCAAAGAGGTTCAGTTGAGTGAAATGAACATCCAGTTGTTTAAAAGTCTAAAGGTGCTCGGAAAGAAGACATCAACTTAATCTAATTATTAACATAGGAGTTTATGACAATTTGCTAATAAGAGCGACTGTAGCACTTCCAGTTCATCAGGGGACACTTCAAGCAACAAAATCACATCTGTGCTGGAATAGCCATATAATGTAAATGTATCTGTGTTGCAAAAGTAAAAAATGTGTGTCTGCTTAAACAAATACATGTATATGTCTTGTTTCAGATCAGAGTTGTCTTAAGAACACCCATTGTTCTCGTCTCTGCTCAGATGAGCTGTTAACTCATCAGTCTGCTCAATAAAAACTATTTCTCCAAACGGAGGTCATTCAAAGAACTATCTCTGAAGATATTTAACGTTGTTGGGAGTTTATTTTACACAGAACCCCCTTCAGTGGATCTGAGCTGTCCTGTTCATCCTAATGTGTCTTTCTGCATTGCTCATGGTGCTCTGCTCACGTCACTGAAGGTTGCGAGTCCTTCCTGTTAAAGTGGTCCTCACTTGGGACCCTCTTAGATCTTATTACTGTTTTTCTTGTACATTTTATACTTTTGCTGGATGTAACTAGGACCCCGTGTACACAATTTCATTCCACCACATGTACCACGTGTATGACAAATAAAGAAACTTGGACTTGGACTTATTATCAGTCTTCACCGCACAGCATTTCACAAAACATGGTTCTAAACAGACCACCGTTCCGAACGTTTATTACCATAATGATTGAAATAAAAAGTGTTTTAATTCTTTTTAAGACTTCCTTGATAATATCAAACAACCTAATATATAATCAATAGTTGGTACTCACAGACAGAATGTTAACCATATAAAGAAGAGTGGAGAAATTTATGTCTAGGTGTAAAAAAATATGTTAAAATCATAAAAACATCAGTTAATTAAGGTCAAAGTTACCAAGGTGTTTACAATTTAAAGTATGCCAAACCATTTAGCTCATAAAATTTTCAATAACTATTTTTTATCAGACCTCATTTGATCTTTATCTCCAATAAAGCTTTACTAACATGTCAACATAATCTGATAACCTCTAATGTAATTACGTTTGCCTCCACACTGGATCACATGAGATAATGGAAAGTGATGCGTCGCTCCCTGTTGGTTCTCATTTTCAAGCTCTGCAGTGTCTCCGTGTGCAAGTTCGGAGAAAACCTTGTGAAGTTTTGCCTCCAGTTTTACTTTCTGATTGCATGTGCGAGGAAGAATGCCAGTTTGTTTATGAATTTGGAAACAGACCTCACCATTTAAAACACGCTCTGTGAAAGACTGCACCGTTCTCGTTTGAAAAGGCTTTTAAAATCCAGATGTACCAAGATAATTTAGACTCTTAATAACACACATAAAATCATAGGTTTTAAAACGGATTAAGCAAATTACCATGTTCTTTTGGAATTAGTGATTAAAAATAAGTGCTTAATTATGAAAAGTGAGATTTTGCAGACATCTTTTTTAGTCTTGTCGTATTTTTGGAAAAGCTGTTTTTGATTTTTTTTTTTTTCCACATGGCCAGCGCCCATCAAGCTTGTTCTGTAATTTAATTTGGTTTGAGATCATCATACATTTTTAAAAGTTGTTTTAAGGGTTAGAGTCTCAAAAACAAAAATAAAACAGATCTTAAAACACCTCTGAAGTTCACAGTGTCCTTCAAAAGACCTTTCATTAAAAAAAAAAAAAATTAAAAAACAATCTCACATGACCAGTCTGCAGCCATAAACCAGTTTACCACTCCGCATCCTTAAAGCCTGGAGTACCTTGTCAAAGCTGCAGAGATGGGAGGTGTTAAAGAGGGCTGTCTGTCAGCTGAAACAGTCAGTCTGAGCTTGATCTCACTGAAAGGAGGAGCACATCATCTAACACTTTGAAAGGCAGCGCCACATGACGGAGTGTCACATTTACTGAACAACAAGTTCGTTTCTGTGGAGTGGACACGGATATATGACAACGACCTCTTTGCTTCAATGTTTGTGACAGAGGAGTGTGGTGTTTTCCATTGTCAAACACATACCAGATGACCATCCCTGTGTCAACCCTGAGTCAGAGCAAAGCTAAGGTAGGTGAGAGCTCTTGACTTATCAGTGCTATGACAAACTGATGCTAATAATTCATCGTGCTGCTCGTCACTAAACGTGTCATAATCCTTGATCCACAGGGCCGTTTAGGACCTAAGGATCAAAAATGTGCAACAAAATATGTGATGTGTGATATTTGAATCATGTGGCCCTGCGTTTGTTACATTCCAGTAACATAGTTTTATTATATTTAATTGATCTGCTTTTGTACCATCTTTAGGCATTAAGTGGATTTCCAGTAGTATTCCAATGTGAGGGGTTTTCTTTGAGGTGAACCTCTTTTCACATCTCTGGTTCAAATTATATAAAGTATTGTTATAGTTTCTTTTTTAAGTTAAAGCCTTGACGACATGAGACTTTTTTTTTCCCGCTCCAGACAGTGGTCCTTTATGAAACTTTAACTGGTCGAAGTGTTTTGCATTAACTTATTACATACATTTCTTGTGCAAAAGTCGAACTGCACAGTCAAGAGGGAACAACCAAGAAACCATTAAAAACAAACAATTAAAACGTTTTTTTTTTTATGCTTGCAGCTCTCTAAGAAAGTTTTTTTTCTTCTTCTTCTTCTCTTAATCCATGTGTGGAGTGCAAAACATTATGTTCCTTTGATTTAATTGAATGTCTTGCTTTGCATCTGTTTTGCATTCGTGAAAGGATCACTGCAAATGTGAAGTCAAATAAATTATGGTGAGGATTGCCCCCCACTGCCACCCCCAACCCCCTCAAAAAATCTTCAGAGTTAAGATTTTTCCTCGCAGTGTAAAGAACGCACGTTTGTCACCAGGTTGTCAGTCCATCTGGACTCCATTTTGACCTTATAATTGCCAAAAGGTGCTTGGTAACATTTATCAGGAGCTACAGGAGGAGTCCACCTGCTGATTTCTGTAGCCGAGTTTCTGTGGCGCAAATAAATTAAAAGACCAGAAGTAAATTTTGTTTCGAAGGGTTGAAAGTTTCTTTAGGGTAATGTGCAGAATTGGCAAAAAGAAGGTGCAGCTTCTCTTATCTGACACTGGAATTTGGGTAGAAATTCAAGTATTGGTGCCATTCCAGTTGTGAAATTGTTGTACAACAGTTTGGTTGAAATTCCATTGTGGTAGGCTTTGAACTCCTTTTTTACCTTTTAAAATGATTTATAAGATTTTCCTGCCCATATCTGGCTCTGGAAGGTACCACATAAACAGAGAATGTGATGATCAAGTTGAAAAGTCAGCAAAGCACATTGGATTTTATTTTGTTATCGCTGAGATAAGTTGGTAATTTCATTGTATTTGTTTAGTGTTTTCTAACACGTTTAATTCAAGAAAAAGCATTTGGATGCATTTTTCCGTTGGCATTATATGTGCTCATCATGTCAGTTGCAGGTAAAGTGTCTGTGTGTGCTAATGTTCCTGAGCTTCCCTCTCACAATGACTGAGATCCCTGGTCCATGCAGACACTCGATTACTAGAGAGCACCTGCTGACTGTGAGGCAGCTGGTAGGTGTTAGAGCAACATCAGAATGACCAGATTATGTGTACCCGGTCTGAGAGCTGCCTGTTGTTGTTTCTGCAGATGGACAACCAGTTGAGAAGTGGCTGTTCGATAACCTACACATTCATAGAACGGAGAACGCTGGTAAGGCAGCTCGTGTTGAATGAGTTGGTTTATCACTCACTGCTGAAGGAGAGAGGCGAAAATCTTTATGCCTCTGTCTGTGCATGTGTGTGGAGTCAACCTAATGCAAGATGGCTGACAGCTAGATGACATTAGACATCGCAAAAATGGCTATAGCTCAGCCAGTTTTACAGATATTGTGCTAAAATTCAATGCCGTAGTAACTGAAAATCATTCTCAACACGCTATCAGCTTGAGCACAAAATCATAAAATCATGTATAATGTCATTTACAAGGTTTGCTCCAGTGATGTAGTCTATGTGATCTATGTGATATGCAGGCATACGGAGTCTATCCACTAGATAAGCTTGGAAATTTCAGTATACCCACTTAAAAGTGCCCAATAATACAAGCCCATGTCAATGATATATGACATGGGCTTGTGTCATTGTCAACACATTTGGAACATTTTATACACACAATGAGTTGGTTCAACGTGTTTTTTTTATAATTAATACTTCCGTACTTACTGCTTAATACTTGAACATGTTTTGCTTTCATACTGTTTTATAAATTTTGTAACATGTTTTTAATACAAAGCCAACTGTTGTACAAAGTTTGTTGTACATTTATTCAAATAAAAGCGTCAGATAAATTTTGAAATGTTCAATATGCTTAAAAATCAAAATAAACTGATGATTACAGTGTTGTAACTGGTGTGCTTTGGTTTCTAAGCACAGTGTACCCACTATAAAAAGTAGACTGCATCACGGGTTTGCTCTCATTTCTCAGTATCAGATGATCTCAGTCTAAACTTCAGGAATAAAAGGCAGCTGGCAAAATGAAATCTTTCAAGGAATGCTCCACCTTTAATTCGACGTAAAACGTAAAGCTTGCACTGTTTACCTTTTCTACAGAGCAAATGCTGCTTTGTGAAAGCTGCCTTGCCGTGGATACTGGAGCTGCTCACCACCCACTTCAAGTACAACCGGGGTTCAGTAAATGATGGCTATGTTCAGACCCTGAGAGCGCTCATCCTTAACATTTATTCTCAGAGGTGTGTGCCTGAGATTAATGAAGAACTCGAGGTGAGTTGTGGAGAATAACGTAATATCTGTTAGATGAGAAATCCCCAAGCGTGCACAGATACATTTTCTTCTGCCTCTTGGGATCTGTTGCAGGATAAGCCCGAGAGTTTTGAAATGGTCCACCGTGGGTCTCCTTTAGACGCCCTGCGGAAAGCGTCAGAGGTGCTGTCTGTTTACTGGGAGCTGGTGACGACCAGTGACTCACCAGTCGACTGGAGATGCCAGTATGAATACTCAGACACCTTCAGTTCCACCACAGAAGAGCTTCCTGCTGAGTCCACTGCAGAGTATTTTACAGGTGTGTAATCTAATCTGCTGGGAATGCTGTGAGATGGATGAGAACCACAGATGTCTGAGAACTCTGTGATCACCGAACATATGGGTTTTTCTCTAGACAGTTATGGAAGGAACTCAGCAAAGACTTCGCAGAGAAGACCGAGCAAAGATTTGTTCAAACTTGGTTTCATCATTACATCCATCTGCGGAGGACTGCTAATTATATTTACTCTCTACTGTCTCATCATACACAAGGTACTAATATTTTTATTTAGTAAACCTAAAAACCACACGTGTAAATGCTGTTTAGCCTGGCATTCCACTCTGTTTGTAATAACAGCAGGCCTTGGCAGCAAGGCGTGGCTCTGAATCCTCCAGAAGTCGTTACATAACACGGTGGAAGCTAGCCTCATTCTTCACGACAACATTAAAAACATCTAAAACTTACAAGTGCTTTTTTATGTTCTTATTCCTTTATTAAGAAGATTTTTTTTTTCTTGTTGGCTTTTATTTGAAGAAAAAAAATTGTAGAGCACATTCTGAAGCTTAAGAGCTACATAAAATTTTACACACAGCACAACTTAATGAGGCCAACACTGAGCTGAACAGATTTTCCTCATTTCACAATCACTCCTGCAGAACAGAAATAATATAACCATGATATTAAAGAGGCAAGTGACAGGAAAGTTATCTCCCTCTTCACAGTTGTTTGTAAAGAAAACAGCACAAATCTAGTTGCTGTTTAAAGAAGCTGAATATTTTTGGATGGAAAAACTAGAAAGTTTGTATAAATGGGATTAATGGACCGCAGCACGGTGGCACAACTGGTAGAGCTGCTGCCTCTCAGCGAACAGGTCCCTGGTTCAAACCCCGGTTCAGGGGCCTTTCTGGGTGGAGTTTGCATGTTCTCTCCGTGCATGCGTGGGTTTTCTCCGGGTATTCCGGTTTCCTCCCACAGACCAAAAACATGCATGTTAGGCTGATTGGTAACTCTAAATTGTCCCTAGGTGTGAGTGAGAGAGTGAATGGTTGTTTGTCTCGTTTGTCTCTATGTGGCCCTGTGATGGACTTGAGACCTGTCCAGGGTGTACCCCGCCCCTCGCACAGTGATTGCTGGACATGGGCACCAGCGACCCCCGTGACCCAAAATGGAACAAACGGGTAAAGATAATGGATGGATGGATGGATTAATGGACCACTTCAGACAAATTATTTGAGAATCAGGCTGAATTCTGAGTTGTCCGAGCAGTACAGGAGTATTCCTGAGGTGGCTCATTGTAACGTGTCAGACACACAGGCACTACCTTTTTATGAGGCAGAAAAGGTGAAACTATTTGTTTAGTCAAGATCAATCAAATTTAAAACCACTTCCATCTTTTGATCTGATGGATGCTGTTTTACTTTCTGTTCCTCGCTGACTTCCTGGATATCTATACAGTATAAAGGACAAGCATTTTATTTATTGTTTTTGTGACGTCTGTGTTTGCCTCTTAACAAAATGTCTCATGAAGCGCTTGCTGAATTTTACTGAAACTAGTTGAATATAATCATCGAATGTTCATTTACAACTGAATACCTTTACCAGTCAACCCCATTCAAGATGGCTGCCACAGCTCACCAAACTTGAAACTAAAAATGTAAGTTTTGCAGATATTAACTTAAAATTACACTTTATTGTTGTTGTGCATTTATGAGTCTATATATTGGTTTATTATGGCTATAACAGTAACGTTGTTAATAATAGTAAGAGTTAATATAGTTATTATAGTAAAGCAAAACATTGTGTGGGGTATAATTATATCACTATGTAAAGTTAGAGGACCTAGTTTAGGAAAAAATGGGAAAAGGATCAAAGGAGAGGAAAAACAAAACCCACTGTGATGTTGCAGTGGTTGGTAGCTCTGCTCTCTGCTTCTAATGACGTTATATTAAGGAAGACAGACATGTAGCTTCAAATATTTTAACAGAATCCCCTCTTTCCCGTCATCTGCGTGTAGTTACCAGCTCCACACAACTAAAGGCCAAGCAGGAAGCAAATGGTTTTGTTTAAGCAGAGCTGCCATGAGAATCTTCTCAGTGCACGGATTATTTCTGGACACAATTTTGTTCCCCACACTAATGCAATTAGATAAACTTAGAGGACATTGTTGCTCTTAAATGTGATCATTAAAATCAGGTTTTATGTTTTTTCTAACACTACTGTACTTTTAGCCTTGGAAAATTATGCAATATTATCTCATTTACAAAGACACTTTTGTTCTGTGCTGACAGACACGGAGACAGTTATTTTCAATTCAACCTTTATTTCTACAGGTTAGTCTCATTGATCCTCGGGGACTCATTTACAAGAGAGACCTGTTTTAAGCAAAGAACACAGATGACAACAATAGACAAGTGTATAAAAAGCATCCATCCATCCATTTTCTATACCCGTTTATTCCATTTTTGGGTCACGGGGGTCGCTGGTGCCCATGTCCAGCAATCACTGTGCGAGGGGCGGGGTACACCCTGGACGGGTCGCAAGTCCATCACAGGGACACATAGAGACAAACGAGACAAACAACCATTCACTCTCTCACTCACACCTAGGGACAATTTAGAGTTACCAATCAGCCTAACATGCATGTTTTTTGGTCTGTGGGAGGAAACCGGAGCACCTGGAGAAAACCCACGCATGCACGGAGAGAACATGCAAACTCCACCCAGAAAGGCCCCTGGACCGGGGTTTGAACCAGGGACCTTCTCGCTGAGAGGCAGCAGCTCTACCAGTTGTGCCACCGTGCTGCCCATATAAAAAGCATATAAATTGAAAAATAAATGGAAGAAAATTAAATTGAAAAACAAACCAAAAACAGCCAGATTATAAGGCGGTGTGGAAAACTAAAAACAGGAGCATGTCTGCATTGGTTTTTGCCATGAACTTAGCAGATGTTTAAAGCCACTTAGAGAGGTCAAGGTCGAGATCTTTAGATCTTTTGTCAAGATATTCCAGGAAAAAGGAGCGGAGTAGGAGAAGGCCCTTTTGCCAAGTTCAGTCCACACTGAGGGAACACTGCAGGTAATAATGTCCTGAGAGTGCACGCTGTAGCTGCACTCATGCAGAGACATGTAGGAGGAGATGTATGAAGGCAGCAGACCAAGAAGTGATTTAAAGATGAAAATGTACCAGTGGGAGAGTCTGCGTGAAGTTAAGATGACCAGTTAACCAGTGAATACAGGGTGCAGTGGTGGGTACGGTAGTTACAGCCAGTTATGAATCTTAATGCATCATGATCAACATCATCCAACATCTACAAGGTGCTTGTAGGAGCGTTCATGTAAATAATGTCACCGTAGTCAATGCGGGAAGGAAAGTCGCAGTTACAAGGTGTTTCCTAGCATTCAGAGTTAAACATGATCTATTTCTGAAAAAGAAACCCAGTTTTTGTCAGTTTCATTACCAAGTTTTTGACATGAGGCTTAAAAGAGAGATGCAAATCGACCAAAATACCCAAGTATTTGTAAGAATTTACAAACTCAATAGGAGCACCATTTGTAGATAAGATAGAAGGAAGGACTGCTGGTTTCATTCCTTTGGTTTTGTCGGCGTTTAGCACCAGTTTGAGACGGAACAAATCTGACTGGATGATGTCGAAAGTAGACTGTAAAAGCTGTATGAACTTAAAGAATGTAGAAAATGTAAATGATGTACTTGTTCAGCTGAAATGATACCGAAGCACAACATACTGTACTCTATAGATTGGTTTGCACAAGTTTTATAACAGCCCAGGATTGTTATAAGATTCTTAGTAATTATGTATATTTATTAACATAAAATCAGGCAAATAGCCTCAAATAATACATTTATAAATCCAACCAAGGACTGGGTTTGCAAATTAGCCTGTGGCTAGAAAACCTTCGTACAAAACAAACGGTTTCTTCGTTTTTAACATGTAACATTGTTTAACGTGCTGTCCTTGTTCAAATAAACTTGAATGAATGAATGAACCTGTTTTGCTTAACAAGAAGATTGTTGAACTCCTCATAAAACAAATGTTTGGTTTTAAAGTTCTGCCTGAGATGCTGACTCAGATCTCACTTAGTTTTTCCACATTATATTTTATGCTGTAATTTAAAGTTCTGCTGGAATCAGTCAATGGTTTGAAGGGAGACCTTTGATCTAATTTAAGCTAACATATTCTGTAAGCTCATAATATTTTATTTTGAGGACTATTAAAATTATAGCAAATTAAATGTATGCACAGGATTAATTTAAGGAACATTTCTATAAACTTCAGTTTTGAGTTTACTTTGTAAATAAAACATTGAAGCATTTAAATTCAAAAAGAAAAAAATTGAAAAAGTCAACACCACCCCCACTCTGGACTTCTCTGTGGAGGATTTCATATGATTCTGCATTTTTACTGGCCTTTTGAACCCTGCAGGGCTTTTGTTAAATACTTGGCTTACACCAAATGACTGTGGAGAAAGCAGGAAAATATGTTATCACTGGGGTCATCTTTAATCTCAGAGAAACAATGGACACATAATTCAACTCATTTTAATCTGTTGATGTTTCTGCTGCCTCTCTGAAGAAACCACAAAATCCTAACTACCCTAAAAGGAAAAAAAAATGTGACCCCAACCAAAACAATTCTGCTGAAACAAAAGTAAATAAAAACCAAAAGCTGCTGACACAGCAAAAAATTAGACTGCTGTTAAAAACACCAAATGAACTAAAGAAATGTATTTTCTGTGAAAATGCTACGTGAAGGCTGAGCTATCATAAATTTAGCTAAAGTAGCTGTAACTAAGTTGTTCAAGCAAAAAGAGGGACAATAGCTAAAATTGTCAAAACAAACCAACAAACAAACAATAGCTAAACATGTCAAAATCCAGGCCAAGTGTAACAGAACAGCAGCTAATTCACACAAGAGGAAAAAATAGAGTCCTGCTAAAACCAAGTTCAAAAAGAAAAAATGTTTCTGAAGAAGCTCTCTGAAGAGTTATCAGTGATGAGGATTGCGTTTTTGGATTTGAGCAAGACGCTGAACAGGAATGGTTTAAAAGTTTTATTAAGAAACAGCTGCTGGTGGAGGTCAGAGTGCTGGAACGAGCCCGATCTGCAGAGATATGAAGGGTTAGTGGGTGTATAGGTCCAGAAAGGCAGATTGGTACCATGATCAGGACGATATAGTAACAGGCAAGGAGCAGGCAGGTCGATAATCCAAAAGACGGGTGTGGGGCCAAGACAAGACGATCAGAGAGGGCTGTGACTAGAATGCTAGATATCTACTTCCACAATGGGTTTGATAATCTGGCAGAGAGTTCTTCTTCTTCTTCTTCTTGGGTTTTATGGTGGGTGGCGTCCAACGTTGAGATGCAGTATTACTATCTACTGTGCTGGAGTGTGGGTCAGAGTATTTTTCTTACCCACTCACTCTATATTCTTGTATATAATTTTGTTTCCTTTAGAAATTTAATAAATGCTTTATTTATCTTGTCATGTTTAACCCCCTATCCACTCAATGTCTCCACGTCATGTTTCCTTAATTCTTGTTTTAATTTTTCTCTACTCACCTTATATTGTTCACATTGAATATGACTTAATGTGTTCTACTGTCTCCATGCCCATGCCACACTCACATTTACCTGTTGGATGTTTATCTATCAAATGTAAATGTTTTATTTAATCCTGTATGTCTGAGCCGTAATCTTGTCATCACTACTTGTCCCTTTCGACTTCCACCAATTATTTCCATCTCCGTACTATCTTCTGTATTTGAAACAAATGATGTTCCTTCCTCCAAGAGTCACTGCCATTCAGATTTAACTTGGTTCTTAATAATATATTTTTTTATTTCTGATTTACTAAATGCAGTTTCCAAAATTCTATCTTGTTGTAAAGATAATTTAGCTACATGATCTGCCACTTCATTCCCCTCTATATCTTTATGAGCAGTTATCCACATAAACATAACCTTTACTTGAGATTGTGTAAGTCTAAATATAATTTCATGAATCAATTCCAGATGGCTTTCAGATGAGAAATTTAAAATGGACATTAATGATGACAATGAATCTGAACGTGTAAGTACTTTTTCTATGCTATCTGTAACGCCATTTCTGTTCAGTGCCCTGAGATGACTTCTGTTGTGACTTGGCACTATATAAATAAACTGATTTGAATTTAATTGAAAAGTCACTAACATTTCCGCTATATAGACAGCAGATGTTCTTTGCTTCATAATTATATTTAGCTCAGGAATAACATAAGCATATCCTGTTTTACCTGAATTTAAATCCTTTGAGCCATCTGTACAAGTGAGGATCTATATGTATTCTTAATTATATCTGCTACAAAATCTACACAGTTTTTATCTTTATTAATCTGTAATTCTTTATAGACCTCTAGATATTCACATTTGGAAACAGCCAAAAAGGCGTAACTGAATATGGCAGAGCAGCACAATATCAATTTTCCTGTATTTCCCTGAATTTCTATAGCACATTTACATATTTGCTGCCCAAGCAAAGCAGTCTACTTTAGCCTTTCCACTTTCCCAGCATGGCTTCAAAATTTGTACTGCTGGATGGTGCTCTTCCTTATGTCCCTGTAAGCTTACCCAATAATTCATCATAATTTGCTTATGTCTTAAATGTAGCGGGAGCTCCCCCATTTCCACCTGCACTGCCAACGATAGAGAGGTATTCACGGCTCCATAGCATAATCTTAGAGCTTGATTCTGAACAACCTCTAATTTATTCCATCCATCCATTCATCTTCCGCTTATTCTGAAGTCGGGTCGCGGGGGCAGCAGCTTGAGCATGGAGGCCCACACATCTCTTTCCACGGCCACCTCTTCCAGCTCTTCTGGGAGGATTCCAAGGTGTTCCTAGGCCAACCAAGAGACATAGTCTCTCCAGCGTGTCCTGGGTCTTCCCTGGGGTCTCCTCCAAGTCAGACATGCCCGAACCACTTCCCTAGGGAGGCGCCCAGGGGGCATCATTACGAGATGCGCGAACCACCTCAACTGGC